AAGTTCCCAAGAATTCATGTGTTTCTGGATCCTTCAGCTAATAAACATTTTGGGTGATGCATTCCCCTGGGTGGTGGAATTACAGTGGTTAGGAGGGGCATTCTGGAATCCCTTCACTTAATTTTATAGCTTTAATAGCTGCGTGGTCTTGGGAAAGTTGTTTAATTTTACCCCAAGCCTCCATTTTTCCAGGTGTGAGCTCAGATTAGCCATTTTAGCAATGGTGCAGGTGTGATGGAATTGTGGTTTACGTGGAGGGAAGGTGAGAACCACATATAAATAAAATCACCTCTAAAAAAGCATGAAATCCAAACACTCACTTCTTGTAAAGCCCAAAGGAACTTGCCATCATTGGAGGGAATATGGTGCTTTGCTCGGGAAAGAGACTGGGTGGCAGGGCAGGAAGAATCACTGAACAGTTTTTTTATTTTTAAAATGTTTTATTTATTCATGAGAGACACAGAGGCAGAGACACAGGCAGAGGAAAAAGCAGGCTCCATGCAGGAGCCCGTTGCGGGACTCGATCCTGGAACTCCAGGGTCAATTTCTGAGCCTAAGGCAGATGGTCAACTGCTGAGCCACTCAGGCATCCCTAATTTTTAACTTAAAAAGAAAAGAAAAATTTTAGAGTAATCTCTGTCCAGCATGGGGCTCAAACTCACAACTTTGAGATAAGAGTCACACGCTCTACTGACTGAGCCAGCCAGGTGCTCTGATTACTAATTTTTGAAAAGCTTTTTTATGATTATCAGGTAAAATTCTAGTGGCACTCCTTTGGTGCTAAAAGCTTTTTTTCAAAAGTTTACTGAACCATCATTTATACTCATGCATTCCCTTTTAAGTGTGCAGATTGATGAGCTGACAAATGTATACACCCAAACCCAGTTTTTTTAATTTTAAAAATTATTTAATTTTTAAAAAAGACTTTATTTATTAATGAGACACACACACACACACACACACAGAGAGAGAGAGAGAGAGAGAGGCAGAGAGAGAAGCAGGCTCCATGCAGGGGGCCCGATGTGGGACTCGATCTCGGGACTCTGGGATCACGCCCTGAGCCAAAGGCAGATGCTCAACCACTGAGCCACCTAGGAGTCCCAACCAAATCCAGTTTTTAAACCTAAGGCTAATCTATTTTTTTCAATTTTTTTAAAATTTTTATTTATTTATGATAGAGAGAGAGAGAGAGGCAGAGACACAGGCAGAGGGAGAAGCAGGCTCCATGCACCGGGAGCCCGATGTGGGACTCGATCCCAGGTCTCCAGGATCCCAGGTCTCCAGGATCGTGCCCTGGGCCAAAGGCAGGCGCTAAACTGCTGCGCCACCCAGGGATCCCCCTAAGGCTAATCTAAAACAATTTATTGAATTCTGAGAACAAAGAGCAGAGGACAATGGTCTCCTTTTTAATTTAAAACCAGTGTCCAAAAAAAAAAAAGTGTCCAAGAACCTTACTTTGCTTTGCAATGCAACAATGAAAATGTACCAGTAATTAGGATCATTAGTTTTGTGTTGAAAAGGTGGCTGGCAGTTTAAACTGGAGATGAATCACAGACCTTAAAGTGTCTGAGTCCAAGCAAAGGTACTGGCTGCATCACTCGTATGACCCAGGGCAAATTAGCCTAGGTTGGATTTTCTGTTTTCTCATCTCTAACCTGGGAATGATCATGTGCCTATACTTTAAAGTATGGCTGTCAGGCTTAGGACATTGCCTGGCGAATACCGAATGCTCAGTACATCCTAGTTATTAGGTCCATGTTAGCAGAGTGACTAGGCTGCTGCCACCCCTTTGAAAAGGCTTTTTGTTTCAGGGCAATAGTTCTCAAACTTTTTGGTGTCAGAAGTCCTTTAAAACTTGAGGACCGCCCTGGTGGCCCAGCAGTTTAGCTCTGCCTTCAGCCCAGGGCGTGATCCTGGAGACCTGGGATCAAGTCCCACATCAGGCTCCCTGCATGGAACCTGCTTCTCCCTCTGCCTGTGTCTCTTCCTCTCTCTCTCTCTCTGTGTGTGTGTGTCTGTCTCTCGCGAATAAATAAAATCTTAAATAAAATGTATATTGTATTAAAAACTGAGAAATTTAGAAAATATGAAAAAACAAGCCTGTTACACAATAAAAAAATAACACAAATTTGTGAAAAACAATTTTTCCACAACAACAAAAATGTAGTGAGAAGAGTGCCGTCTTTTACATGTCTTCAAGCCTGTAATATCTGACTTAAAAGGTATTCTCCTGTCTCTGTGTTCAGTTTGTTGTGATACATTTTTTAATATATTTTTTTTATATTTATTTATTCATGAAAGACACAAATGGGGGGGGCAGAGACACAGGCAGAGGGAGAAGCAGGCTTCATGCAGGGAGCCCGACGTCGGACCCTATCCTGTTGGACCCAATCCGGGGTCTCCAGGATCACGCCCTGGGCTGAAGGCGGCACCAAACCACTGAGCCACCCGGGCTGCTCGTGATACATTGTTTTGATAGAAGTGTATGAAGAAAATTCAACTTTGTCCAGATATGTAGATGGAAAAAGGAAGAGTCTTTCTTTCTTTCTTTCTTTCTTTCTTTCTTTCTTTCTTTCTTTCTTTCTTTCTTTCTTTCTTTCTTTCTTTCTTTCTTTCTTTCTTTCTTTCTTCTTTCTTTCTTCTTTCTTTCTTCTTTCTTTCTTCTTTCTTTCTTTCCTTCCTTCCTTCCTTCCTTCCTTCCTTCCTTCCTTCCTTCCTTCCTTCCTTCCTTCTTTATTTATTTCCTTCTTCTTTCTTTCTCGATTTTATTTACTCATGAGAGACACACAAGGAGAGAGAGGCAGAGACACAGAGGGAGAAGCAGGCTCCCTGCAGAGCCCAATATGGGACCCCATCCTGGGACTCCAGGATCAGGCCCCTGGACCAAAGGCAAACACTCAACTGCTTAGCTACCTAGGTGTCCCAGGAAGAGTATTTCAATAGCTTGTTCAGTGAATATTCTTTGAGAACTATACCAACACTTGATAAATAGTAGTTTTTTTTAACTAAGTTTTTTTTTTTTTTTTTAAGATTTTATTTATTCATAAGAGACACAAAGGCAGAGACTTAGGCAGAGGGAGAAGCAGATTCCTCGCGAAGAGCCTGATGTGGAACTCCATCCTGGGACTCCAGGATCACTCCCTGGGCCAAAGGCAGGAGCTAAACCACTGAGCCACCCAGGGATCCCCTAAGTAGTAGTTTCTTAAAGCTTAGTTGTAATGTAGAAGCTGAAACAACACTCATTATTTTTTTGTTCCTCGTTATAGTAAAATCCATTGTTTCCTTTTATACTTTGAGTGAATCTTTTTTAATTTTAAATTTTTTTAAGATTTTGTTTATTTATTCATAGAGACAGAGAGAGAGAAGCAGAGACACAGGCAGAGGGAGAAGCAGGCTCCACACAGGGAGCCCGATGTGGGACTCGATCCTGGGTCTCCAGGATCACACCCCAGGCTGCAGGCGGCACCAAACCGCTGTGCCACCGGGGCTGCCCTTGAGTGAATCTTTTACCTGTGTGTGACTTTGTAACATCACCCATTGGTTTTGGAAAATCTAGTTCATTGATTGATGTAGATCTTCAAATGTTGACAAGTCCATTACACAGTATAAAAAGTTACATTTGTTAGTGTCACTACTGATCCCATCAGAAAAGTCTTTAGGTATTGGGAAGCTGTCAAGCTCACTGTAGTGGATACAGGTTTTCCAAAATTACGGTTTTCAAATTAAAGTTCAAAATTTCACTGGCAGCAAATAGTCAACAGTTTTCTTTGAAGTGACAGGCTCGTCTTACTCATTTTTGAGAAAATGTCTGCCAAACATACCCAAGTCTAAAGAGTAATGTCTCAGTTTTTCTTTCAAGTTAAAGTGATATTCCATGATAAAAGTGGCTAGTTCATCATATAAACCAAACAATTGTCACGTGAGATTTTTGTATGCAGCAGAAATGAGCATACCCCACTTTGCCACTTGTAAAATTGAAAAGTCCTATATTTAAGGGCTGTGATTAAATCAAAATAAAAATCTTTACTGCTTCATTAAGGACATTCTTGAGTGCAACTAGTGGGTTTTTTTTTTTTTCCCTGTGAGTACATGGTGGTACATAACCACCCATGTGCCCAGAGATTGTAACTCTTTTTTTTTTTTAATTTTTATTTATTTATGATAGTCTCGGGGGGGGGGGGGGCGCAGAGACATAGGCAGAGGGAGAAGCAGGCTCCATGCACCGGGAGCCCGACGTGGGATTCGATCCTGGGTCTCCAGGATCGCGCCCTAGACCAAAGGCAGGCGCTAAACCGCTGCGCCACTCAGGGATCCCGAGATTGTAACTCTTAACAGCTATAGAGGTACAGGTACTATGGAATATGTAATGTGTAATAGCTAACTAATGCTTCTACAGTACTTTCCTGTGTGCCAGGCACTGTTCTAAGGAGTATATGTGTGTGTGTGTAGATCTATATATCTCCATGTGTTCATTGTCCCATTTATGCCCACAATAGTTGTATAAGGTGGATACTTTTATCATCCCACTTTACAGAAAAGGAACTAAGTTTTTTAGAAGCATGGAGAGCTGAAGTAACTTGCTCAAGCTAATATTAGAACCAGGACTCAGAGCACCTAGGTGGACTCAGTCGGCTAAGCATCTTCCTTTGGCTAGGTCGTGGTCCCAGGGTCCTGGGATTGAGTTCCACATGGGGCTTGTTCCCTGCTCAGCTGGGAGTCTGCTTCTCTCTCTGCCCCTCCCTCCACTCATTCTCTCTGTCTCTCTTTGTCCCTCTCTCTCTCAGATAAATAAAAAAGAACCAGGACTCAAAGCCAGGTTGCAGAGACCCAGCTCTTCCTCACTACCACTGACTGAGTGATTAAAGCCTGGGAGGCACTTAGACCCTATGGAGGAATGAGAGTAGGTGGGCACTATCTTTAGGTGAGAAGGTGCAGGTCTCCATTGCTGGGTGTCTGGGCACCCTGTCCTGACTCTGCCCTCTGTCCTCTGTCCTGGCAGGATGACCTCTCGGGAGCAGCTGATACAGCAGGTGCTGCAGGAGCTGCAGGAGGCGGTGGAATCGGAAGGCCTGGAGGGTCTGGTCAGTGCTGCTCTGGAGGCCAAGCAGGTCCTGTCGTCCTTCACCCTCCCCTCCAGCCGGGAGGGGGGCTCCAGCCCCCAGGTGCTGGAGGTGGACTCCGTGGCCCTGAGCCTGTACCCGGAGGATGCTCCCCGGAACATGCTGCCGCTGGTGTGCAAAGGCGAGGGCAGCCTGCTCTTCGAGGCGGCCAGCGTGCTGCTGTGGGGTGACGTGGGGTTCAGCCTGGAGCTGCGGGCCCGCACCGTGGTGGAGATGCTGCTGCATAGACACTACTACCTCCAGGGCATGATCGACTCCAAGGTGATGCTGCAGGCCGTGCGCTATTCCCTGTGCTCTGAGGAGTCCCCTGAGATGACCAGCCTGCCGTCCGCCACCCTGGAGGCCATCTTCGACGCGGACGTCAAGGCCACTTGCTTCCCTAGTAGCTTCTCCAACGTGTGGCACTTGTACGCCCTGGCCTCTGTCCTTCAACGCAACATCTACTCCATCTACCCCATGCGAAACCTCAAGATCCGGCCCTACTTTAACCGGGTCATCCGGCCTCGCCGCTGCGACCACGTGCCCGCCACGCTGCACATCATGTGGGCCGGCCAGCCCCTCACCAGCCACCTCTTCCGCCACCAGTACTTTGCCCCCGTGGTGGGGCTGGAGGAGGTGGAGGCTGAAGGTGCCGCTGGCCCTGCCCCGGGCCCTCCGGCCCCGCTGCTGGCCTCGGCCAACACCCTGGAGCTGCTCAACCGCGAGCCTGGCCTCCGCTACTCCCACCTCTGCCGGCGCTATCGTGTCACCAAGACCACCTTCTACCGCTGGCGGCGGCAGTCGCAGGAGCAGCGGCAGAAGGTGGCCGCCCGCTTCTCGGCCAAGCACTTCCTGCAGGACAGCTTCCACCGTGGCGGTGTCGTGTCGCTGCAGCAGTTCCTCCAGAGGTTCCCCGAGATCTCCCGCTCCTCCTACTACGCCTGGAAGCAAGAGCTCCTGGGCTCTGGCACCTGCCCGGCCCTGGCCCCCCAGGAGGAGCAGGGGGCCAAGGGGCTGGGAGGCTCCTCGCGGCCGTCAAGCCCTGGAGTGATCTTAATGCAGCGGGCCAAGTTGTACCTGGAGCACTGCATCTCCCTGAACACGCTGGTCCCCTACCGTTGCTTCAAACGCAGGTTCCCCGGCATCTCCCGGTCCACGTACTACAACTGGCGCCGGAAGGCCCTTCACAGGAACCCCAGCTTCAAGCCGGCACCGACCCTGTCCACCCCGGGGGCTCCCCAGCCAGCCTCTGTTCCGGAAGAGGCTCTGCTCCCTTGGAAGAGTGAGGTGGGAGAGGGGGCAGGGAGAGCAACGGCGGGGGGACCACCCTCCCCCCACGAGTTTCTGCCCCCAAAGGTGCCCCTGTCCTGTTGGCAGAGGCGCCTGCGCAGGGCTGCCCGCAAGCAGGTGCTCAGTGGGCACCTCCCCTTCTGTCGTTTCCGCCTCCGCTACCCCAGCCTCTCGCCCTCCACCTTCTGGGCTTGGAAGAGTCTTGCCCGGAGCTGGCCCAGAAACCTGTCCAAATTCCAGATGCAGGCCCCCACCCTGGGCAAAGTGGGGATGCAGGCAGCTGAGGAGAAGCAGGAGAAAGAAGCTGGTGGAGATGTGATTGCTGTGAATGCCCCCTCTGCTGGGACCCCCCTGCAGGTGGGGGCTTCTCCAGGAGAGGATCCAGGGAAAGCCCAGGAAGGGCCTTCCAGAGAGGGGGCCATCACCCAGGGCCAGCCCCACAGCAGGTTCCTGTCCAGCCACCCTGTGGCAAAGGCAGCAGCGGGTGGCAGGGACGGCCAGGTGCTGGTGATGGACATGCTCGCCACCACAAAGTTCAAGGCCCAGGCCAAGCTGTTCTTGCAGAAGCGCTTCCAGTCTAAGAGCTTCCCCTCCTTCAAGGAGTTCAGCGCCCTCTTTCCGCTCACGGCCCGCTCTACCTACTACATGTGGAAGCGGGCACTGTATGATGGCCTCACCTTGGTGGATGGCTGACGAGGAGGTGTGAAGGGGGCTGGGAGGAGAGGGGGCCCATTTGGACAGGGTCAGGGACCTAAGTTCGCCTCTGGCTTGGCTATGATGCCCTTTGCTTTGGTTCCCACAGTGTCTACCTCAAATCCAAGGGCAGCTTTGTGCTATCTCCTGGCTCTAAGGCAGACGGAGCCAGAAATGAGCCATCTGGTCTCTTGCAGAGAGCTACAGGACCAGAATTGTTCTCTTCGGTTGTTTGCCATTCTTGCTTTTTATTGTCTTGGTTTTAGTTTTTTGTTTTGATTTAAGTGGGTGGGCTGCCCGTCCCACCCCCCAGCTGGTATTGGAAACTGTCTGTGTTTGGGGGTTCTGAGGGGGTTTGTTAGCTAAAGCTGCTTTCAACTTCTCCTGGGGATGAAGGAAGTACTGTAACCTAACATGGCTATCTGTCCCCTTAGGCAGAATATATGTCTTTGGTTTCTTTTGGGGGTTGATACCCTCATTACTCAAAGATGTTTTCCAAAGAAACAATGGGAGTCAAAGGTGGAGCAGGTCAGTGGCTTCTTTCTGGTACCCCCAAGGAAGAGGGTGCCAGGCTCAGCATGAGAAGTAAGGGTATAGAGGAAGAACCTCTAAGGGAAGGCCTTGAGCTAGATCACTGAGGTGCTGGCCTGTCCCTTACAAGGAGCTGGTAAGGGGCTGGGGGAGAGGGTCGAGTCTCTACTGGTGCTTGGCCCATCTGCTGTGGAGCCTCTAGTCCTCTGCCAGTCTGGATGGCTCTTGGGGACACTCGTCCTTCTGTTGAGCCTCTCCCCTGAGCCTGGGCCCCATCAGTGAGGGATCATACAGTGACCGGGCAGGCAAATAACTGAATTTGCATTGTCCAAGAGTCAAGTTGGAAAACCAAAGAAATAAAGAGATGTGGTACCCATAGCCCTTGGTCTCTGGTGTTTGATTAGTCAGGATGTACCTACTCATTTCCACATTCCTTTTGGTTTAAGGGCACCAACAATGACCATTTCTCTTTGGAGGGGACATTCCTGGGTCTAGGGCATGGGGGATGGGGAGGGATTGCTCTGGGGATTCCGTTTAGAATCTGATCTATAGGTGACCTGGGGGTGCATCTCCAGCTGGGGATGGGGCTATGGCCACCTGGAAAAATACTCCGATGAGGTGTTCTCGCAGGCTAGGCCAGCACAAGAGTCAGGTCAGGTCCTTGTCAGGCATTCTCTTTAGTGCTCATCATGCGCCCAAGCAGGCTAGGCCCAGGCCTAGGTCCTGGTCAGGACAGGACACTTGTGAGCCTCAGAGTGGCTAAACTGCAAACCCCCTCCGGTGGGCTGGATTTTAAAGCTTGTTGAGGTGTGGCATCATTAGGGAAGACATTTCTGCAATGGCTGTCATCCTCACCATCTTGGGGAGTCATTCTTGGTTCTATTTTTTCACCCCCACATCCAGTCTACCAGCAAGTCCTGTTGACTGACTCCAAAGTGGCCCAGAACCCTCCCTCTGCTGTCGCCATCCCCACCGACCCATGTCTCCACCTCCTGTCTGTCTCCCTTCTGCTCTTTCCCAGTACAATCCATGGTCCATAGAGCAGCTGGAGAGTGCTTTAAGTGAAATTGCATTCTTTCACATTCCTGTCTAATATGTGTCCGAGGCTTCCCCTTCACCCAGAATTCCCTGCACTGCCTGACAAAAAAAGTCTTTGTAGTCTGGCCCCTGACTAGCTCTCCCTGCCTCTTGTCCCACCGGGGCCCTTCTCCAGCCACACTGGCTACCTTGGGTCTTGAACATGCTGCACTTATGTTAAGGGCCTTCTCATCTGTTCCTTTGGAACACCTTTACATGGCGGACTCCTTACCATTCAGATCTGAGTCTCTATTGCATTACCCTTTTAAATTCTCCATGTGGTGTTTATTCCCATCTGATAATTTTCTTGTTTGCTTATTTGATTACTTCTTACCCCCACTCACCCCATTAGAGCATAAGCTCAATGTAAACCAGGGCTTTTAATTTATTTATTCATGAAAGACACACACCGAGAGAGAGAGAGAGACATAGGCAGAGGGGGAGAGCAGGCTCCACGCAGGAAGCCGGATGTGGCACTAGATCCTGGGACTCCAGGATCACGCCCTGGGCCAAAGGCAGACGCTCAACCGCTGAACCACCCAGGTGTCCCCTAGCAGGAAGATTAGTTGCTGGCACATAGTAGATGCTGCAGCGTGTTGAAAGAAGGGATAATGTAATGGGGCCACTATGCTTTTCCTGCTGTTGGCCTTTGGGGTTAGTGTTATTAAATCTAATCAGTTGTACTTCCTAAATATCTCTCATTGGCCATTTTTCTTCATCCCACAGCAACCCCCTAATCTACGTCAGTGGCTGCTCTCCTCTCTATAACTGATTCTCTCCTTTCAAACTATCGCATACTTTCCATCCACCCTGACAAATGCCAGAATGATCTGGCTAAATCTGTCCTGCGGTGGCCACCTATAGCCAGCAGGTGGCGATCTGTTGCAGCAAGAAACAAGTGAGTTCCTGGTAGACCCAGCCTGGTCTGGCTGATTGGAACCCCCAGCCTACAAGCCCTTACTGCCTTAGCTGTCAGGGTGGTACCAACCTCCCTCCTGAGAATTCCCCCAGCTGGAGCTCTAGATTCTGTTTGTCTTTTCCATGTGGTCTCAGAACCAGAGCAGATCTGATGCCTGAGCAATATCTCAATGGGATCTAAAATGCACCAGGATCTCAGTCCCTGGGGGAGATGGTTAGGAACCCCAATTCCAGGGCCCCACCCAGACCCACTGATGATAGTCTTAGACATTGGAGAGGCAGCATGTGCACATGGGTGAGCTATACCTTGCTGTACTTCACTTTTCCATCTGTAAAATGGGGATTACAGAGTAAGTCCTAGGTGAGTATTTGCTATGGGTAACAATCATGTAGAGTTTGAGAATCTAATTCCTGTTTTCTTAGAGTAAGGTAATGCCCAGGGAGATTCTTGTTCCAGATTGCCCTGTAAAGATACTCCTGCCCCAAGACTGAAAGGTCCTTTTGTCCAAGGCCAGCCCTGAGTCTTAAGGCCACAGTGAGATACTTTAGCTTCTATTGGAAAAAAATAAGATAAACAGGATATGTCAATATTTATTGATTTGGAGACTTTTATTAGTACAGTTAAGTTATTTTTGTGTAGAAAAATTGTTTTCTCCATAATTGCTTAGAAAGGCAGATTATACCTAAACAGTGACTATATTTGCTAAGAATACTTCATGGTGGTTTTGAAGTTGACATTTGTTAAAGTTAGTTGTATGTTTTACACCACTTTCTCAAAGGCAGATGTAGAAAGAAATTCCAGTGAAATGAACAATGTGAATAAAGGAAGAAAACAATATGTGAGAGGTTGGCTCTACGTCTTCTAACATTCTGTGCCATTGTAGAGTAATAGCTGGTTCTACAAATTTTGAATGTAAAAACTTCATCCTAAAAAGTGATTAGGTGAAAGGTGAATAATTTTTTAATTTTTTTAGTGAAAATTTTTATTTTAAAAATTGTAATATATTTCTCCCCTGGGGGAAGGAGTCCTGTATTTTGGTAGGGATTATCTTTCTACCTTGCTGCATGAGGTTGCTCTTCAAATATTTCTCTGGAGGCCAGCACTTGGGCCCTTGGGTGGCTCTTGAGCCCTGAGAAACCCTCACCTGCCCCTCCTGGATGTTTCACCAGCACCTCAGCCTCACTAACTGCCAATCTGGGCTCATTCCCCACCAGCTTGCTCTTCTCTTGAGTATTTTTTAGCCTGGTTGCTGCTGGCATCAGGTTAGCAGTTGAACTGGACAGAAAGCTGGGGGTCATCCTAGAATTTTCTCTCACATCTCCATCTTGCATGACCTGAGGAATACTGCAGACTTCATGTGGTTCCACACTGCTAGATTATCATGAGGAAGGGACTTGGACTGTCCAGGCCATCATCCTCTCCTCTGAGCACATCTCTCCTGCCAGATCATATCTGAGGCTACTCCTTACCCAAGTCTGGTCCAATTTTCTGGCTGTGCTGCTAGGTCATACTTGCTCACATAGGGTCTGGCAGATGTAACAGGCTCCTGTCCAGCAACCCAGGACAGGCTGAGCCCTATTCTGTGAGCTGAGGGTACAAGTCATTTGGCCTCAACTCTTGTCCTCACAAAGGCTTCCGTTTGCTGGCAGCAATATGATAGAAGCTTCTCTACAGGATGCACAACAAAGTGCAGTGGGTTCACAAGGAGGCATATGCCGGCTTTAGCATCTCCTAGCTCATCCTGACCCCTCCAACTCGTAGCTCCCAGGGTCAACTTTTCTCAGAAATGCTGACTCCTTGGAGGGGTCTCTGGGAAATGCCTCAATTGCTCCTCAGATGACCTCGGTCGCTGGTTGTAAACACTTGTCCCAGTGTAGTGGCTGTCATGGGAGGATGAAGGACAGGTAACCTGACAAGGCAGTTATTAGGGTGGGGCTGGAAGGTGGAGAGGCAAAGCTCCGGGAGTGTGTGCAAGTGCAAGGAGAGCCCGCTCCTGCCCCAGGGGCTGTCTGCCCATCTTACTGGCCTGACTTCTAATGGGCATTTTAGTGTGATTTCTCCTCCACAACCTTGGCTCATGACACCCCAGGACACCCTTAGAGTATCACTAGCAGGTTCCTAAATGTTCCCATTACTGGTTTATCTCATGGAAGAGAAGGAGGAAGCTTTCAGGGAGAGAAGAGCAGCAGAAAGTAGGTTTAATGGTATAAAAAAATTTCCATGGAAAATGACTTTGAAAATAGCATGAAATCCGCTTAACTCTAGCGGCTCCTCCCTGCCAGGCAGAGCTGGAGGGGGGTGCAGGGGGACCTAGATCTGTGGGGAGCCAGGAGGAGGCTGGACAGGCATCTGCTCATGTTATTACCTGCCTGAGGATGGTGGAGGGCAGGAGGGCTGCAGGGGATCCTCCCCCATGCCTCACCTATTCCAGGCTGCAGCCCCCACCGTGCAGGCTGGTGGGAGGCCAGAGTCT